GGAACCCCTGTCACCTTATCCACGACACCATTTTTCCTACTCCTTCTCCATGGCAAGAGCTCTGTGCACCCCATTCCTTTTTCCACCACATACCTGGTACTCGTTTTCCCTCCACACTCCTCCTCTACAGATCCCTGCTTCTGTGTGCACCTACCTACCTAAATTTCCATATCTCTGTTCCCTTTATCACCCACCATTCCAAATCCTTTACAAGTTCTATGGGAGGAGGGGTGTATATTGCTCCCCCTATGGTCACCAAGACCACTGCCCTCCAGATCCCTGCTTTTCCCACAACCATGAGACCCTACTCCTCTTTGGATCTATGCCTCTTTCCCCGCCACCACCATTGCTCTATAATGCTAGTCCTTGCTGCTTCACCCCTACCTTCCTTCCCCTCTACCCCCCCCCCCCCCCTCTCAGGCTTCCTTTCCTGTAACTATGTCCTATTTTCAATTCAGACTTAATTTTGTGCATGGGAAAAGTGTAATAAGTTGCTACTCTGATCTATGTAAGCAGCAGCCATGGGTAGCAGGGAGATAACTCTACCTGAAGCACTAGGAAGCCTTGATATTCCTGAGAATCAAGGAATAGTATTCCAATTTGCATCAAGAGACACTCTTGTGCTATAGATTCCTAGAACATTCTCTGGAATTTTTAATTTATTGGACAAAACATTCAAAAATTATGGTATTGCGGATAAATGCCATCAAGTATTTGACCTTGCATTTCTTTTTAGCAATACTTTTACAACTTCAAAGTCTTTGAGAAAATCACATCACAGTGATGAAGGATTAAACTATGATTTCAATTCAAAGCTAGAACCTGGATATTTTAATAGGTGCTTATGTAACATGTAACTTTCAGAGTGCCATGCTACATACACTGACGTTTGTATTTACTAATTATTTTAAAATCAAATTTCTTATCAGTACTGCTCCATTACCATAGACTTACTAAATTATGTAACCATCTAAAAACAGCAAGAATGTATTTGGTTTATTTGAAAATAAATGTTCTGTTAACACTGGGACATAAGTTTGCTACAATTAGTCAAAAGATCTGCCACTTAACTAGCTTGCTGGCCCTTACCAAACCTGGCACTACACATGCTAGTTACTTGCTGCTACATTTTGTCAATGTACAAAGTTTGTAAGATTGGAAAACACTTTAATGATAAGGAAGATAATAAGGTATTTCTTAATATCACAGTAGTATTATGTATTTTTGTCAGTCTCCCTGCATTAGTGGCTTCAGGTGAATGCACTTTCAATTGTTAAAACAAGTAAAGAACTATCATCATTCTACAATGGGACAAGATCGTTGGAATAGGCTCACAATGCTTAATATTAATAGTGATGTTGCACATAAATTAGATATTTTTTCAATTATAAATGAGTTCACACACAAAGCCAGAAACGCATTTCTAAAATGAAGAGTTTTGCTTGCAGTGGAAACTCACAATTGATTTTTAATATACATGCTATTGATATAACAACTTAATTGTTAATAAATAAATGTCTCATGTTCATTTTCATATATTCTTTTGGTTTTAGTATGACCCTGTAGATGAGAAGTTAGCTACCTCAGGGGGCTGGGGCCTCTAAACTCAAAGTGGCCAAGGCCTCTGTCATTCTCTGAGCATGCCTGTTCAAGGATGATCTAGACTGTGCTTGGTCCCGCCATGAGGGCAAGGGACTGGATTTGATGATCTCTTGTGGTCTGTTCCAGTTCTAGTACTCTGATTTTATAATAGTAGAATGGAAATAGAGCAATGGGAATATTAATTTTGCTATTTTGACATTTTTATTTTTAGGTTTGTTAGAACTTTAGCATCACTAAAACAGTTACCCCATAGGGAAAAAAAAACCCTTTCATTTTCTTCATATGGTAAAATTACAATACATAGCATTCACTCTTAACGAGTCAACATTGAAAGCAGTGGCATAATGGAATCCAAGATGATATCATTTTGCTATCTAAATACTGTACTGAGATATAAATGTGTTCTCTCAAACGTAACTGAGAAGAAACTCATCTAGTTGAACTTAAGATCACATGTTGAAATTTAATAATTATGCAGGCCACTCATAGTTTTTAAAGATAACTCTATACATTCTTCCCTCTTGAAGCACATACAACCTATCTATGCATAATCTGGTGCAAACTTCAATATGAAATCAGTAAACAATCGTTATCCAGGGGAAAAGAAAGTGACATGCTCTAAACAAGTATGCCTTGAATAAGAATTAGGCTTCCATTGTAAAGCATATCTTCTTTTATCTTTCTACAACTCATGAACAGAGACAAGACTAGCAAATAGTAACAAAGCAAGAATTTGACAGAAAAGAACTGACCTGTAATGAGAACTTTATTTTCCCCGCCGAGAAGGTAAAGCAAATAATTTAAAAGCATGTACTGACTATGTTTCATAGTAAGTCTGGGATGTTGCTTCATGCATTTCTATCTTATGAAATGTCCCAAATCCTGTGCAACAAACATCTCCCTTTTAGTGTAGTAGGTTTTATAAAAATCGGAAACATTTTTTGCAGAGTGTAAACTACCTTGTTACAGGATATAATCCAACCTGAAAACTTACTGCACAAAGAGAGGCTTTAATGCAATAAGATGAAAGGAAAACATGAATCTAGAGCTCTTTCTAGAAGTCAGACATTCTCTTGAAAATTCTCCAAATTCTCTATCAGTTTTTTTTTTTTTACTTTGCTTGCTTTAAAATAGTAAGCTTTTATTGAACTTCATAACTGGTATGAAAACAGATGCTTTAAAAAAAAAGGGACACAGGATATTTAAACGTAGCTGACTGATTTTCTCAGTCTCCAAACGGATACAATAACCAAGATACATAAATTAAACACTTCAGTAATTCAAGCACAGTAAATTTAAATTTTAAAAAACAGATTTACCTGAGCTCCTATTGCATTTGTCAGCTTGAAGATATACAAAACTATATCCAGAAATGGCTACAAAAAAAAAAGTTAGTATTAGAAGACAGAAGAAAACATGGATATAAAAAGTCAAAATAATCAGATTTTGTAGCAGGAACTATAGAAACTTACTTCATAGTAACTATATCTTAAGAAAAGATGTAACAATTATGTGACTTTCTTTCTAATGAAAGAAAACATTTAATAGTTTTTTGGGTTTTTTTTTTTTTTTTAGGTTTGTTATATTCACCACTGGTGACAATTTTCCAAATATTTTCAACATTATTTGTTCATTTTGTTTATTTCAGTCAGCTGGGTCAAGCAAATATCAGTGGACAAAAGTCACATATATTCGACCAGTACAGTACAATGAACACCTATTGTCTGACTACATATACATGAATATTTCATTTTACTCTATAGTCAATTTCTAATATTTGGACTGAAATACGTAAGAGAATGTCCTATAAAATTATTCTGGTGCTTTTAAATAAAAATGCATATTTCATAAAAAAATCTGTAAAACAGATTAGATTAATCTGTTCAATTTTTATAAGTCTTCTGCTTCATCAAATCAGATCTTAAAGAAACTTGCTAGACTAGATGCTGCTATTACAAAACTGTGAAACTTAAGGAAATCTAGTATTATCCCATCAGAGTCTCTTGCAGGAGTAATTTCAAGGACAGTTATCCTAATAAGTATTTTTAAACTTGCTAGCTTTGCTCACTTACCCACCCAATTACTTCCCCAAATAGAGAACTTCTAGCCACTTCAATAGCAGAAACTACTTCACAAAATTACAACACTGACTGCAGGATAAGGTACTTCCCTGCTTTCAAGTTAGGAAACACACTGCAATCGTTAAAGAAGAAATTTCCTTATTCATCCCACCCCACCCTTGAAACAAAAACCACTTTCATATTAAATCAAAGACAAATAAGAATGAGATTTTTTTTCCCTTGACATAATTGAACTCACTAATATGAAGTAGACAATCCTAAACAGTAATTCCTAAATGAAAATTGATCTTCCCAAACCGACAAGATTTATCACCCATACATTTATTCAATGCTAGTCAGTCTCAGAGGGGTAGCTGTGTTCGTCTGTAACTTTAAAAACGAGTACTCCTGTGGTACCTTGGAGATTAACAAAAATATAAACAGTATTATGTGCTTTCATGGGCAAAACCTACTTCTGAAGATGAAATGGAGTGGGGAAAAAAGACAATGCTATTTGCATACCTTGACTCTTGTAAAAGTTTGCACAGAGTTTAATGATTCAAAATGACAACTATTAATAAATAATTAAAAGTTTTATTACAGGAACTCACCTTACTAAGGTTTGAATAGAGGTCCACAACACTGTTACAGAATTTTTCCACATCCTGTGTCAGCAGTTGATCTGGATTAGCTATTCTGTTATCCAGATTTCCCATTTTATAATATGTATAAGCCCTAAAACATCAACAAAACAGTGACTGAGCAACCTATGTCATGTTGTACCTAAAATGAATCAAATTATTCAAGTAGTATCAAATGAGTAGCTGAAAGCCATTTCAAGACTTTTATAAAATCCACAAACAATCCCATCTCTTGTTTGATATTTACTTGGATTTATTTTATAGTTAAAATATTTAAAGTGCAGTATAATATATCAAGTATTAAAAAGTTATGACTTACTGTAGATATTCCTCATAGAGGTATTTGGTAAGTCTTACTCTGAAACAAAGTTTAAGTTCATTTAGCCCGTACTTCAAAAAGTTATTCACCAGAGAGATCTATGAATAAATTATAGTAATACAAGTTAATACAAACAAACCAAAACAGTTTGATTTAGTATACCATATATTAGTTTTGTACTTAACCAATTTAAACAAAATTTTACCTAGTCAGAACTTGTATATAAATTGATTTAAATTAACAAAGACCCAGATTTTGCAAATGTAGTCTATTGGCAACAGGGATTTTAAATTACTTAATGGCAACTGACAAACCTACCAGTCTAAAAGAAATTAAAGGCAAGTCAATTTTGCTCAATCAACAGGCAGCCAATAGAGAAACCGTAACTCAAATATTTCCCTACTTCTTGCAACCAGAAAATGAAATAAAACCACACATTATAAAAACAATTTATTTCTAAAAGTTCCAAGAAACTTATTTGGAATCTGTTTATTTTTTCTCAATTTATATTTTAAACTACTTTTACCAAAAAGACGGCAAGAAAAAAAAGCACTTACTGCAGGCATGGCAGCGATGAAATTGAACAAGTACTTCTTGAAATCTTTCCTGCTGCGACCAATGATAGCACTGCAAACCACCAGATGATACATGTTAGTTGCAAGTAAGTCAATACTATGCACACCAGTATTCCTCTGGAGGGTAGGTCTGTGGACCTGATTAGTTCAGGAGAGCAGGGATAACGAGGTATAAAAAAGTACTGCAGTCAAAAACTGCAGTACCAATTTGTTGCATCAGTAATATCTTCTAGTAAAGTGGAAGGTTTCTCACTGAAAGCCACTTGCCTTCTCTCCTTGTTCTTTTTGTGGCCCCTAACATAAAAGGGTACAGGAGGAGCTCACATACACTTTTCTCTGTTTCCATTGCACTTAGTAACCTTGTGTGTAACAAACAGATACCACTCACCCCAGGAGCATACACCCTTTGAGAGCGGGGGGAAGAGGAGAGAGGAAATAATGGAAGGTTCAAGGTGAAAAATTAAGTTAGCAAAAATATGTAAAAGAAGAGGGAAAAAAAACACAGATAACATAACAAAAAAGGAAAAAACACAACAGACAAGATGAAATGAGAGAAAACAAATAAGACAGGAAAAGACTATGAGTACATGCAACTATGTGAGAACATGGTGTTAAGACAGGATAGGCCTTCTGCCAACCCACTGCAATGGGAGGAGGAGAGTACTGGAATCCCAGATCCAAGTTGGCTATGGTCTGGAGCAGAAGTTACCCAAGACAGTTCTTTAAGCTTATACACAGACCAAAGCAACACAATGTTCCAGATTTCATAAGTCTTTAATGGCATTTTAGAACTATATTTAGTACCTGAAAAATCTGTCTCAGCTAGAAATTATTCAGGGTATAAAAAGTCTTATACATAATAGATAACTGTAAAGCAGTGGTCACAAACAAGTAGATCAGGATCTGCCAGTACATATTGGAGCCTCTGACAGATGATCCTGACTGGTTTGGCCAGAAAGCTATCTAGTGCTGGCACTTCAGTTGCCCCTCCACCCACTAACATACTGCTCCTACCCTCTGCCTTGGAGCTACTCTCCTGGGAGCCTCCTGCTTGCTGTGCAGGTTCAAGGGAGAAAAAAAGATGTCAGGGTGTCCATCCTCCCCGCACTCCTGTACTTCATCTCCACCCAAAAAGAAGGGGATGGAGGGAACTTGCAATACAATTCTGTCATTGAGACACTGTGTGTGTCTGTCATTCCCACAAACTCACACTGTCCTTCAATCTCATCTCCTGACCCAATACATATGTGAGGGGCTGTTGTTACTTCTGTTACTGCTTGCAAAGTGTGTTATTTTTGACTTTTGGTGGGTCTGTTTTCATTTCTCTCTTACACTTAAATTTAATTCTTTGAGTAGTGAGTTCTCAAATCCTAACCTGTCACGGCTGGAGTAATTATCCTTATGGTAACTGGTGCTCCTGGATGTGTCTGGAATGTCCCTGCAACTCCTGAGAGAGGCAGAGCAAGGAGTCTCCACATGCTGTCCTTGCCTGCAGACACCACTCTTGCAGCTCCCACTGATCAATAACAAGAAACTGTGGCCAGTAAAAGCTGTGGGCTCAGTATCTGTAGATGAGGGGCAACACATGGCTCCATGAAGCCATTGCTGTACATGCCAGCTGCTTTCAGGAGTGGTGCAGGGCCAGCACAGGAGTAAGCCTCCCTTAACCCCACTGCTTCATCACCCGGAAACCCTCTCAGTTAATTGGAGCCCAACCAGAGCCTGCATCCTGAATCATTGTCCCAGCCGTGAACCTTCTCCTATACAAACCTCCTGTCCCAGAGGTGTGTCTCCCTGCACCCAAACTCTTCCCAGAGCTTGCATTGAGACCCCCTCCTGGATCCCAATGCCCTGCCCTGAGCCCCTCCCACACTCCAAACTTCTTTGCCTAAGACCAGAGCCTGCACTCAACCCCCCAGCCAAGCCTGCAGAAAAGTATGTGAGGGTGGAGAAGAAAGGAGGATGGAGTGGATGGAGGCCTTGAAGGGGTGGAGCAGGGGCAGGGGCTTTAAGAAGGGACAGGAAGGAAGTGGGGCAAGGGTATTTGGGTTTGAGGTAGATCTTACATTGCACTTAAAACTGATCTTGTCGATAAAAAAATTGGAGACCACTGCTGAAAAGCAAAAAAAATGTGAAAGGACTACTCCCTCCCCCCCCTTTTAATGTGTTTTCTAATGCTCACACACAAAAAACCTTCACTCAAAAAGCAATTACAAATTAAGGTATGAAAATGGCTTCTAACAAACAGAGAAGAAATAAAATATTTTTTTCTTCTCTGCTATTCACCTTTATTATGACACACTACTGAAATCTAACGCATCCTTTATATTGAGGTAACTGTTGCAGGAAAAGCTACTCTTTATAATAGTTTCCTTGATACTAGAAGACTATTAGAACACAGTCTTAGGGCAGAACAAAGTAGTACCCATTTGGCTCCTTCATATCTTAGCTTTTAATAAAAAATTATCACTGTTGCTTTGATAAACTATTTAGAAAGGAAAGGTGACAAGAAGATGAAATTAAATGATGGAACATTTATTTAATTTATCAACAAAAATACAAGTTTTATTAAACCAATTTAAAATTGCAAATTTATTTTTAGGCAAGCATTTAAACTACATTCACAATCGAGATCTATTTTTCTTCATCTCTGTTGAAAGACTAGATTTTTATTTTCAGAGAGATGGCAGGCAAGAATAAAGAATCAGTGTCACCATTTAATTTAATTACCATAGTGTGAACAGATTTTGAAGGAAAAACAAACATGGAAACATAGGAGCAATAGAGATTTAAAAAAAAAAAAAAGATTGAGCAATTTCAGCTATTAAGGAAAAAACTTCGAGAGGAAAAGCAAATTGCTTCAGCACTGCACTGCTCTATAAAACATTTAGCATCAGTAGAGCGTGTGAATGCTATTATTTTACCAAGTTTACCAAGTGAGATTGAAGCTATAAATGTTAAAAAAAAAACTTGAAGTGCCTTTTCTTCCTTATAATTGCATCGCAAGAAAAATTAAATCGTACATGTTTCATCAACTGAATACGTTTCTAATTATAGAACCATAAAAATGACTTCTTGAGGTCTCTTCCAGCTACACATCTAGTCTAGGCCACTACACTGAAGAAAGACTAAATAAACCTTCAGGGCTCACCCCCAGGGCCAGATTAACACTTCTGAGGGGAGCCAGGACTAGTAGATTTTGTGGGTTGCCTCTAGGCTCAAGGGTGGAGCCAAAAATGAGGGCTTCTGTGTACTGGAGGCGGCTGCCAGGGAGCGGATTGTGGGTAGAAGGCAGAGTGCAGGAGTGGGCTGGGGATATGGGAAGGTGAGGTCTGGGAGGGATGGAAGATGTGGGAGGAGCAAGGGTTTGGGGTGCCTACCTGGCACAGCTCCCAGAGAGGCACAGATGGCTCCATGTGGCCCTGAGCTTACAGTCAATGCCCCACCCTACCCATTGGTCCCACTGGCTGCAATTCCCAGGCAATGGGAATGACCAGGAACAATGACTGCAGGGAGCACTTCCCTGGGGCAGAGTGGCTTCCTATCCCCTGCCAGGCAGAACCTGAGGGCTAAACATGGTCTTTGTCTTGTCTTGATTGGATCTGTGAGGCTTGAGGGTCAGGTCACCCCCGCAGCAGGGACCCGGCAACCCCCACATGACTGGAGTACCAGCACCAGTTCAACCTTCTGTGGGGGGAGGGGGGGGCGTGGAGAGGGGTGCCCAAGCCTTGTGGGCCGGATCCCCATCCCTGCTCTAACCTTTTCTTAAAAACTTCAAATAATGGGGATACACCACCTCCACTGGAAGCCTATCTGCCCTAATAGTTACAAAGTTTTTCCTAATACCTTGCTGCCTGTTAAGCCCATTACTTCTTGTCTTGCCTTCAATGGATTTGGATAACAGAACATAATGTTGCTCTAATTATTGGATAACTATTCAGTTCCAAAGCACTGTAAAATACATTATTACTATAGAAGTGCAAAAGTTAAATTGATTTTCATCTGCTAAAAGGAACACTATCTTGGTATTGCATTCTGGAGGGACAGTTAATTTCTCTCTCATGAGCGAATAATACCCTCAAAGACACCAATATCCACGAGAGAAGAAAGAGGAAATAATAATATCTACAGTATGAAGAGCTAACTTCAAATTAAAAAAAAATATATATATATATCCCACTTTAGAATCATGTAACTAAGACGTATCCTATTTCCACCCTCAAAGTTAACTGAGGGGGCATATATACTAAGATTGAACAGTGGTCTGTAATAAACATATTGACTAGTTCTAGTCCCAGCAATCATATAAATAGTAGCCCAATGTCTGAGTCTGTAACACCGAAATGCTGGCTGTTCCCTCTGGGCAGCGCTGTTGCCTGAAATGCTGGTTGTTCCCTCTCGGCGGCCCGTGCTGCATGGCGAGTGCCCAAACGGCCGCTTCCGCCGCTTGCTCCCCCGTGGCAGCCCGGCTGAATGGTGCAGAAGTCAGCCGAGTGCCCTGGCGGGGAGGGGAGGGGATGGAGCAGAGAGGGATATGGCCAGGG